TTCAATAGTTAGAAAATACTTCGTAATCACTTTTAGATATGCCTGACGGCTTGCGCGCGTGAAGCCAGACCGCGCGTAGGAAAAAGGCCAGACCGATACGGAAAAAGCACAGACTGCGTCCGCTACGTATGTATGTATGTACTATGGATACCTTGCAGTACTTTGGTTTTCCAGTACCGTGTATTTCCTGTACAGTACCATACGTACAGTACTGCACATAATCTTCCTAATGATATTGATATTGCTGATAGTGATGCTGATATATATTACTACCTCTGTCCCACAATAATAGGACACTTTGCAGTACTCACCAATTTGTCCAGTATTAATAGGTCAGTATGATGGGATAGCCCTGTAGAACATGTAGAATAAGAAGTGCTAGAAGTAATACAACTAGTATTGTGTCACCATTCATATTTAAGAGTTTTAGCACTATTACTACTACTATTGGTACCAATACAGCACTACTAATTACTATGAGTACTATTGGTACTGTTGTTGAAGTCTGCCAGTACTGAACATGCAAAGGCAATCTTTTCTGGGTCACAAGTGATCGAAACTGGAAGCTCGTCCCCTTGACGAGAAAGTTTTTCTTTGCCAAGTTGTCGTATCTTATAAGTGTTGTCACCACCAACACCAAGTGACTCCTCCATTGTACACTGTAGTGAAAAAAATACATTGTTTAGAGTTTCCCGTTTGGATTCCTCAAATGCAGCAGTCACGTTGGCATTCAATGTGTCCATGTTGGAAGACCACTTCTTGTGCTGAAGGCTCTGAATAGAATTGAAGAAACCCAAATCAAGACCATCAAAGTCAGGACTGTTAGGGGGTTGAGGCTTCACAACAATATTCCAGTTCCTTTCACGAGCAGCAGCAGTCACAGCTGCTCTGGTGTTCAGTGTACTATGAGGCTTTGCATTGTCTTCTTAGATAACACAATTTGGAAGACAATCTCCGTTGCCCCTGGGGAACTTCTCGTAAATGGCTGGTAGACTTTTTCAATCATGAGGTTCCTGTACACTTCTTCATTGACGTTAATAGGGTGGGGTTCAATTGTACCTCGATTCACAGAAGATCTCTGTGCTGGTCTGTACTCCACAATAGTCCAAATACCAAGCTTACCATCAAACCATGCACCCCTATTAGTATCAAATCTGGGCCTTGYTGTTGCACATAGAAACATCACCTTCTTGATAGGTGTCTTGCCAACTGGCTCAAGCTCTTCATCAAGTAGATATGTGTTGCTTGTTACTTCCTTCATGAAGAACCACTTCTCATCAACATGTACCTTGTCGTACATAGACTCAAACACACCATCGTTATCAATATGAGACAGAGCAAATGCAATCCTTGCCATTTTTTGCTTCTTTTAGGAAAGGCTTCAAAGTGTAGCTGTATCTCTTGATTGCTCCATGTTTAACAAGACGGTGCAAGGAAGAACAGGGGATGTTCATTGCCACTGATAGGGTCCTGAGATCTCCTCTTTGTTTATATGGTATGTCCCTCATTCCCTCAAGATCAGAGGTAGGCCTAGCCTTCCTACCACACTTGGACCTGTTGTTTGACACATCACCTGCAGGGCATGTTTCATCATCCTTAGTTTCTAGATAGCGCTTCCAGATTTTTGCACAAGTTCGAGGGGAAACTTTAAAGGCCTCTGCTGSCGCCTTKAATGCACCCTTTGCAAGTTTGCCATTCCCCTTGTGATGCGGAAGCAGTTGATGCAAAACAGCTTGTCTTTGATTGATGGTCAAGTTTATATTGCACCGTTAAGTTCCCACAATTCCTAAAGGCCATGTGCGCTCCCTCCACCGGATTAATTCAGTCCAAATGTATCTCAAGGTACAATGGCTCAGCRAATTGTGTCTCCCTGGCACAAGTAGGTTGTCTCCCAGTATTTTCACCCACCGGTGCCTGACACACTACCATCCATCTATTGCCTATCCCTACCAACCCAAGCCAGAAAAGAAAAGCTGVCTGACCTTTGACAAATTTCTTCGAAGTATTTCCTCCAGCCCGGTCTCTCACAAGCTTTTGGCACCTGCTCACCGGCTCGGCAATTGGCTTCCACCACCTCACGTCTATCACGGCGTGTGGAAGGCCTATCTGTCCAMCGATCACCGCATATGGACCTCGCCCAGTCCAGGCACATGGGAGTCCCATCCAGTGGTTCTCACCAAGATAGGACCACCACAATCATCACGCGTCTCTGYTAAACTCCCTCCTGGCAACCYGATCCCTGTCCTCACACGGACGACCAAGATTGATGGTTTCCAATATGATCCTACCAGTGTCTGCCCTGTTCCACCAGTCAGCAAACCCCCTACTACTGCTCCCAGTACATGGCTGGGCCTCTTACGCAATCTAGTTCCTTGGCAACACCAGCTCCTGCGGTCAGCAACCTTTGAAACTGATTTTCC